TGTACTTACTTCTCCTTTTTAGCACCTTTTTTTATTTCTTTTAACACATTAAGTATTTTACATTCTGGTTTTCGTATTTCAGTATGTAAAGTCTTCATTGTCTGGCCCTATTCTCTTGTTTGATGATTCTGCTAACTCTTGTTTGTGATGGCTGGTTACCTTGAATGTTTTCCTAGGATTCTGTGAGACTTGCATGAGAAATGTATTGAGAAAGTATTTCTTCTCAGATAATTTGCTCCTGTCTTTGCCACATGTGTGGGAGCACTTCAGCTGTAGACTCAGGTTTCCTTTGCAGTGAGGTGCTCCTCTTGGGGGTTTTCAGACCATGCGGATAGTGTGTAATTAAGCATAAACACCGGTGTGGTCAGCCAGTGCCCTCAAAATATCAAGAGGGGCTTTTTTTCTTACATCTCCACTCAGCACCAACATTAAGATGGGCATTTTTCCTTCAATAACTGTTTTCCTCCTTAACTGGAGGTTTTCTTTTAGCTCCTGGCTCTTTGGACCAGCAGCATGAGCATCACCTGGGAGCTCGTTAAAACACAACATTTCAGGTTCCACCCAGACCCACACAGAATCTACATTTTAACAGGATCCCCCTGGTTATGTGCACATTTAAAAATCTCGCAACTCACTTTCTTTTCTCAGAGCATGAGCCTCCTTGAGTCCTGGCCTCTAATATGTTTTGTTTTGCTCAGGCTCCCTGCTGTTCTAGAAGTTCTATACCCCAAGCTCTAGATCAGAAAAAGACACAGAATATCTAACAATTTAAGTGTGTGTTTCCCTCACTGGACTTCTTTTTTTATTATTGTTACTCACTTTCTTAAATGTTCTTCCTCTGATTTAGAAGTATTTTGTGTGTTTTCTTGACTTTTCAAAGTGTTTTAGAGCTCTACAGTTTTGGCATCTCTAATTTATCAAATTTCCAGAAACAGAAGTTCCGCAAAGTAGTTGTTTCTTTTTCTTTGTTTTTTAATGATGCTTAACTCTTTTTTGCTTTGCTTTTATGATTTCTTCTATTATCAGATCATCTATTAGTAATGTATATTTTTAACACAATTCTAAGTAGGCATTAAGTAAGACCAAATCCCCCCCTTGAAGAAGACAAAATGGACTTTATGATGGTGATTTTCTTCTCAAAAGATGGGTTTTGTTTTAAGCTCATCAGCTATTTCTCAGGTAGAGGAGGTCAGAGGTTTGCTGATGGCCAAAATGTAATACTAACATTAATATAGCTATTGTTGCTTAGTACCTACTATTTGAGAGGCAGAATCCATAGATGTGTGGCTCTTGAGCTCACCTTCTCCTTTCTGCTAATCCTTATCATCTGAGAGACCCTTCTTTCTCCTTATCTGCCCTTGAAGCTGCTTGCACGTGCCTCACTGTCACCATCCCAGCCAGGCTGCTGTGTATGGATTTGTTTCCAAAGATATAAAGCTTACAGGTGCCAAGGAGCACAGTGTGCCCTGTCTGGTACTCTGGTACTCTGCACAAATGAGAGGAGTTGTCTTTCATGTTCTGTCACACTGTTACCTGACTACAAAAATAGCTCTGTTTATGCTCCCAGAGTCTCAGGAGTCCCTTGAGAAAACTGCTTTTTCAGCTTTTCCTTCTAGGCCTTCTTTCTGTAAAGTTCCTTCAGAAGTGCCCAAAGCCAGACTGATGGACCAGCTTCTCAAACTTATACTTTGCTGCTCTTCTGTCTTCCCCCGGAATACACTCATGTTCCTGTTCTTTACCAAAAACCTCATGCATATTGACTTCTGTGTCCTACAATTAGACTCAAGATATTAACGCACTAAATGTGTGCACATATAGACATACACAGTGTGTCAATTCTCTGAACTACCCTTCAAAGTATGTAGAAATACCCCAGTTTACAAATGGGAAAGCAGATTCAATGAAATACAGTAACATTCTCAGGTTCACATTACTCGTAAGTAGTGCGGTTGGCATTGGAACCCATGTGTGACTCTTGTGCCCTTAGTCTGCAAGTGTTTTACTTTTCCATTGTGTTCAGGAGAGGGCCAAGCTGCTTTGACAGGTCATCCAGGGATGCACATTCTTTTCACTTTTTGCTCTGCCATTTTTGTAGGATGGTGCCAAGAGTCAGCCAATATGCACTAGTCAAGTTTTGCTAGTTACTTAAAAGCTGTGTATCTTCTGATTGATTGAACATATGTTCTGATGGGCAGTGTCTATAGCATATCATTGTTAAATATTTTAAGTATCACCCTGAATGGGTTTTGTCCTCTTCTGTGTAGCTGAAGCTGGGTCACTGTTATGTCCTCATCGCAACTCAAGGGAATGGCAAAAGAAATCCAGGGCAGTTAGCTTGTTGCAAATTGAGGCAATCTAAAATTTGCACACATGACTTTCAGTCTCATTCTAATGGTCACACTTGGACACATGGCTGCTTGCCCATAGGGGAGGCTAGAAAATGTGATCTAAATGTGTGGTCAGTTTAATAGCAAGGGGGATGAGTGGGGGTCCTAGAACTAAATGGGAGAAGGGAAAAGTGGCTGTTTGGGATATGCAGCAGTCTCTATCACCTCTATCTAATGTCACTTTTTCAGAAAATGATTTTGTTTATGGTGAACAGAATTACTGTAAAAATAAAGACAGTTGTGTATCTGCCTTGTCAGATTATTGAGAGGCTTAGATAAGGTGCCATCTTTTCAGTTGCTAGCACAGTGCCTGACGCATATAGGCATCTAACACATCTGTTACTTTTATTATAGTTAGTATATTTGCATCATTTAAGAGGTAACATTTTTAGCCTCAGCTTTTGTCTACCTTATAATTGGTAGCCAGGGATATATTTTGTTCTACTTTTTTGAATTTTGCATAAATGCGTAGGAATTTTCACAGATTTGGAACATACCCAAATTTATTTTTACACTGATTACTATTTCACACTTTCAATGAAGAGATTTTTTTTTAAAATTGCAATAACAACCAAACCTAAAACGAGGTGCTGACTTTATTGCATTGAGCCTGAGCCTCTGCTCAGTGGCTCTGATCGAGTGGCTACTTGTATCTATTAAATACTTGCTGGTTTTTAGGCCTCTGAGTTTTAATGTACAATAAAACAATTAGTAACCAAATGCAGAGATGACTTATTAGCCAAAGTGGATGTAAAGTCTGTCCACATTTAGAATCTAATATGTAATTGTTAAAATTCTCCTTTCTGTATATCTGTGTTGTTACTGAGCTGTGATGACTTAGCAATCTTTCTTGCTTGCTGTACTAATTAGTAATATACTTATTTTTTAAAAGATGTTATTTATTTTTTAGAGAGAGGGGAAGGGAGGGAGAAAGAGAGGGAGAGAAATATCAATGTGTGGTTGTCCCTCACATGCCCCCAACTAGGGACCTGGCCCGCAACCCAGGCATGTGCAGTAACTGGGAATCGAACCGCGACCCTTTAGTTCACAGGCCGGTGCTCAATCCACCGAGCTACACCAGCCAGGGGTAATATACTTATTGATGAATATTTAGATGTCAGGTGATTGGCAGAAGTTTTCGTTGTGGAGATTGTATGAACTTGTTAAATTGGGGTATAAGATCAAATTATGAAGAACCCTGTATTTCAGATAATGTGACTAATTGGTTTAAAAATTCTTTTTTTTTAATTCTATTATTTAGACTAAGAAAGTCCTTCAGTCTATAAACAATTGTGCATAGTTTATAATCACCAACATTTTGAATATATTTTCTAAAAAATCATCCACAATAAACTAAGATGAAATTATTATATGAAATATAGTGACATGATCAGAAACTCAGATTTGTATGTTTTTCATTTAATTTCCAAATAAAAACAAATGCTGCCTTATAAGACATTATTGCAGGTTTTTCTCTTTAGCCTTTTAGTATGTTTAACTACATATTCTTATGTGAGATAAGGAAAAGAAAATATGCCTTAGATAGTGAAGTGGAGTTGGAAGACAAAATAGTCTGTACTCCAAATAAATACATAAAATTTTTAATGGATGAGTGTATTTATTTTAATATGTACAGAAATTTTTCTTGGTTCACAGAATTTTTCTCAGCAAATTAGTATCATAAATATGAAGTATTTTGGGTGGGCTGGGATGGGGGAAAGGCAGAAAACTGTACTTGAACAACAATTAAAATAAAATTTTTTTTAAATGAAGTATTTTATATCAGTGAGCATTTGTATGGAAGGAAACTATATTAATTCTGAAGATCATTATCATGGCCTTATTAAAACATTAGTAAATAAATTAAAAATGCATTTGCCTGATAAAATTTTTTTTAAATTTTAGTCGGCAGGAATAGTGGACCATCATTAGGATTTACCTATAAGAATACTAAATACAGCCCTGGATGGTGTGGCTCAGTGAATTGAGTACTAACCTGGGAACCAAAAGGTCACAGTTCAATTCCTAATCAGGGCACATGCTTGCGTTGCAGGCCAGGTCCCTGGTTGGGGGTGCACAAGAGGCAACCACACATTGATTGTTTTCCCTCCCTTCCCCTCTGTCTAAAAATAAATAAATAAAATCTCTTCATTCCTCCCTTCCCCTCTGTCTAAAAACAAATAAAATCTTTAAACAAACAAACAAAAAACACTAAATACAGTCTCTTGTGACTTTTAGAGATTTAAATACTAAATATTGTCATTGAAAAATTCATACTAAATTATTCATAATCTGGGTTTCTGGCATTTTTGGCATGGCTTCAGACAGGAATCAGTATTTAATATATGTATGTACAATTTTGATAGTGGTTAACTAGAGTATTTCAAAACTCTTCTCTTCAAACCGATAACATTGGTTGCCTGCAAGGAAAGGAAATGGCTGTCTGGAAGATATATGGACAGAGGGAAGAAGTTTCACTCTATGTCCTTTTGTACTTTTTTGAACTTTGAAAGATATGAATGTATGCAATAAAAATAAATTAAATAAAGTTATTAAATTTTAAAAACAGAATCAATGACCAGCTCCTATTTTTCCACTACCCCACTCTACTAGGATCCCCCCTTCTGTGTCATTCTTTGAGGAAAACAAGTGCTTCTCAAGGAGGAAAATCTGAACCTACCAAACAACCCCTTAAGAAGCCAAAGTTACCAGAAGGTCGTTTTGATGCACCAGAAGATACCTATTTAGAAAAAGAACCACTAACAAGTAAGTACGGTAAAGCTGCTCACATTTCAAGGCTCTATGGTAACCCTCTTAGTACTCTCTAGCCTCCTGTGTACCTCTGTATCTTCAAAATGGACCATAATGCTTTTCCTGTCTCTACTGACTGCTTTGTCTACCTCTTTCTTTAGAGTTTCCAGATGATGTTAATCCTGTTACCAAAGAAAAAGGTGGACCCAGGGGCCCAGAACCTACCCGATATGGAGATTGGGAACGAAAAGGACGCTGTATTGATTTTTAAGCCACATATTCTTTAACTTCAGTATCTTTTTCTGAATACACACATCTTAACTTATTTCTGACTATTTTATTTCTGTATATCCTTTAATCTAATTTTTATAATGTGTTTAAAAGTATATGATGGATTTGGGAGAAAATATGCTGCTCTAAATGAGGAAAGGGAAAATACTTCTGCATTTGCACATTAATTTTAATGTAAAGGTATTGGGGTTATAAGTGACGATTAGAACTGTAAACTTCTTTCATCATGTTTTAGTATAAATTAATCAGTTGCTCATAAAATACAAATGTAAATAAAGCAACTTTTTAAAAATGTATTGCCTTGTGCTAGGTAAGATTGTCTTTTTAAATGCGAGTTAAGTAGTACACTATATTTCAGAAGACCACAGTAACAGAAACTCTTTAGCTTGGAGCCAGATTACTTGGGCACAAATCCTTGCTCTACTACTTACTAGCTATGTGACCTTGAGTGAGTTATTTAACTTCTCTGTGCTACAGTATCCTTAAGTGTAAGTTGGAGATAATACTAGTTCTACCTCACACTGCAGTTGAGAAGATTTAATGAATAAATACCTGTAAACTACTTAGCACAGGTATTTAGTACATAGCACATATCTCTTAGTAAGTGTTAGCTATTCTTAAATCACCATTGTATTTTTCCAAGTCTCTAGGCTTCTGGGCTAACAGGTTAAGAAATCAAAATTTGAAATACTTCAGTTGAAATTGTTTTATATAACTATAATATTTAAAAGCCATTCATTGGTTGGAAAATTAGTGATTATTTGTATAGGTGAACTGAGCTGAAATAGACAGTTTGTGAAACAAAATTCAGGTACTGAGGGCAAATATGAGGAAAGCAGAGCATAGAACGGACTGGCTTAGTCAGTTTTGTTTTGTTTTTAATTACTTTATTGTTGTTCAATTACAAGTGTATGCATTTCCCCCCCACTCTTTGCCCCCACCCGCTTAGTCAGTTTTGATAACTCAGTAGTTCCTACCTCTGTGGACTTCGGGTAACTAACTGGGTCAGGAAAGTCAAGTCCAGTTTACAGATGTGGAATGAAGGGAAGATGAGAGCTATTGCACCTCCTTTAAGGTATTTTTCACTCTCCTGTGGCCTCATTCAGCTAGAGAGATCGGGCCGTTAGCTCTCAGGCTACACTTAAATTTGGAAGAAAGGGTTTCCAAAGCCTACAGAAGACAGGATGCAGTGGCTGATAATTGTGTGATATGAATTATAAGTTTAATGAGAAGATTGGAGGGAGACTTGTTTAAGAAGATAAACTTTTTTTTAAAGATTTTATTTATTTATTTTTAGAGAGGGAAGGGAGGGGGAGGGAGAGAGAGAGAGAGAGAGAGAGAGAGAGAGAGAGAGAGAGAGAGAGAGAGAGAGAGAGAAACATCAATGTGCTGTTGCTGGGGGTTATGGCCCTCAACCCAGGCATGTACCCTGGCTGGGAATCAAACCTGTGACATTTTGGTTCGCATCCCACGCTCAATCCACTGAGCTATGCCAGCCAGGGCTGAAAATAAACTTTTTTAAAAGTGTATTTGCCCCAGAAACTAACTACTATGGTAATTTGCACGGTTCATTCCATCTTTATACAATTCTCTCTCTTAGTGAACATTTGTTCTCTAATCTCAGTTACTGGGTATGCTGCTAAGCAATAACCACATTCATATAAATTATGCTATAATTAACCTTCTATTAGCCCAAATTAGTTAAGGCTTTTACTGAGTTAACATTTCAGAAATACTGTGTTAAATTACATTGTATTGCCTAGTTTTGCTTGGATTTCACACTAATCATCATGACATGTGACAGAAAAGACAATTTATATACTTCAAAAACATAATAGATGTAACTGAAGTGTTGTATTAATATAATAGAATTCTTAATCTCTGTTAATAGTAAGATGATTCATGGCAGCATCAAATATATAAGTAAAATTTGGTGACGTGAAAACATTTATGGTTTCTGTGACCACCAAACATTAACAGAAAAGCCTGAAGACTTACAAAAGGCGATCTGGTAGCAATGGAAATGCATCCTTCAAATCCACAGCTATGGGAAGTAGAATTGGCTGAGAACCCCAGCTGCTGCCCCGTTGGATCCACTACTGTGTATTTGCTGAGGTCGTGCTTCCTTCTTGGTCTTTCTAGCTGATAAATGAATGAGTATGGAGGGACTACAATGAATGAACATGATGGCCAACACCCCTGATAAGTGACTTTGGTCCAAGGACTCCACATTCACCTCCCCAGAACGTTCTTGGGACTGTGCTGTTGTCTGAGACTCTTCCTACCCAACCCAGTCCTGCCCTCTGCCCTTCACAGGTGTTAAACTCTGCCTACTCCTTCCCTTTATAATTCACAAGGATTCCCAGTAAATCTTTTTCTCTTTTAATCCCATTTCAGCATTTGTTTCTTAGAAAAGCTCATACTAATTTGGGTAAGTTTAAAAGAACAATTTACAGATTTTTCAGAAGATGTGATAAAACAGAGCCGTTGTCATTCTAGCATAGAGCCTGGTTGGTTTGATTTACACATGGGAACAGTTCCAAAAGACAGCTGGAAAAAACCAAATGGAGTGCAAGTGCCTCTCCTTCACCCCAAACAAACCAAAGGAGACTTTCCAGGTTTGATGAGGCTATTATCACTTTCTGGGTTTTTAATACTAAAGACCTGGTATTTACCTTTTTAAATCTAAACTGACTCTGTAAGATACTTACTAATCAAGTTAAATATTTATATTGTGATTGGACTGACCAAGAAGAAGATACGGAGCAAGCAAAGTGATATAATTAAAATTCCTGAACATAATAAAGATTCCTCAAGCCAAGAAGAGCAGTTTTGGTGGGCACCCCTCTGCACAAACACTGGAACTAAAGCTGTCTCTGACTTCCCTAAGCTATGACTGGCTACTGTGAATGAAGTACAAATATTGTACAATTCATGAATAGGAGGATGTATGAATATTAAGAAATATTTATGACTAATAAGTATTCAGTATCAGTTCTGTGTCCTCTGGGTACTTTGTTTTAAGTTTTCCTCAAGATTTTTTTTTTTAGATTTTTATTTATTTTTAGAGAGACAGGGAGGGAGGAAGAGGGAGCCAGACATCAGTGTGTGGTTGCCTTTCTCATGCCCCACACTGGGGACCTGGTCCGCAAGGCAGGCAGGTGCCCTTCCTCAAGATCTTTCATTTGTAGAAATAGATGCCTCTTTCTGACATTCCTTTAGACTCTTGGCCTTGGTTCTAACGTGTGCTGCTTTTTGCATCTCCCTCTCCTTTTTCTTCTTTTGGGGGCAATGCCATATATTGTACCTAAACCAGCTTCTCTCTTACACTCACCCAAACCTCAGTGGAGAATTAAAAATAGAGCCTTCTCTATTTAGGGTTTTTAGATAAAGCTGATGGGATGTATGTCAGTGGCTATTAACATTTCCACCTTAGGGTCCTTTTATACTTAAATATATTAAAAATTTTTTTGAGGCCCCTAAATTGTTTAGGACACCAAAGAACTTCTGCTTATGTTATGTCTATTGATATTCACTGTATTATGAATGCAAACTGAGCAGTCTTTAAAATATTTAATTCATTTTAAAATAACCCAAATAGTAAATCATTACATACTAACATGAGATAACATTCTTTTGAAAAATAACTGAAATTTTCCAAAACAAAAAGCAATTAAGAAGAGTGCAGTGCTCTTTTAATGTCTAACTTAACAGAAGGCAGCAGTGTTCTCATATCACCTTCTGCATTCAATCTGTTGTGATAATATTTTGATCAATGTATAATCAAGAAAAGCTGGCTTCACACAGATATGTAGTTGAAAAGGGAGGATCTTGCAGACCACTTGAAAGGGTCTCAGAGATCCCAGGGTCCTTGAACCACACACTTCCAAGAATTGCTGAGCTAATTTAAGTAGGAGGGAAGGTACTAAATAGACTCTTGGGAAAGGCTAGCAGAACAGGCTGAGTCTCCAGGACCCAGTTTCAGACCCACACAAGAGCCCTGGCTGGAGAAGGAAGCTGCTGCCTGAAATCAGTGAACTGTACCTTTGCAGGCAGCAACCTGCAGCCATCACCACCAGCCCCAGAACCTGTTGACTGCTGCTGCTTGCAGGCAGAATGAAGTCTCAGTAGCTCCCTTTCCTGTCACCTAAATCACTTCTGCATCATTGTCATATGTTGATATATTTGATTGGTGGACCCTAAAGTCAGATGTCTGCATCCTAGTGGAGGCTGAGAATTATACTTCTACAGAATTCTCAAGACAGTGTTTAAAAGATTCTGGATAAACACAAGTATTATTTATTCACTACCATCATCTAGGAAAACTACTAGTTGAGAATCTTACTGGGGCACATGGAAATATAAATTATATAAATATAGAACTGTACAAATAAGGCTTAAATAATCCCTGAAACATATTAGACGTCTATTCCTGCTCACTTGAAGAATGTTTCCATAAAGATTGGGCATTTGAGCCTATATTTTTTCTTATAGTTTTATCAAATTTATTGGGGTGATATTGGTTCATAGGGCCATACAGGTTTCAGTTGTACAATTCTACAGTATATCATCTCTATATTACATTGCCCACTACCCAAAGTCAGATCATCTGTCACCATATAATTGACCTATAATTTATTTTTATGCTTTTCATATAGCCTTGGTTAATGAATATGAAGATTAGTTATATGAAAGTTGCTTAAAATTCTCTTAACATCCTATGTTCTTTAAGATATGGTTTAGGTATATTTAGCCTGTGTATTTCTAGCGTAGTCTTAGCAAGTGGAGTCCTGTCTGAAGCCTTGAAACTGCGAGAACTCCTGATTAGCTGTGGCTGGTAAAACGGAGTCATGGACAGATTTGGAAGGGCGTTGTTGACGCAGGTGTGAGGAGATCAAAATCAAATGAGCTTTCAAAAGCAACTTAGAACATTGGAAGCTGAAAACACCTACAAGGAAAAAACTAGGAAAATGTCTTTGCAGGATTGTTTTTAAGTAGCTCCTTCAGAAAAATCTGGGTTTATAAACTGAAAAGTTATAGACTGGGGAGTATAACCATTATCTTAAAAATTGTATATTCTTTAGCACAGGAGGTCACTATATTCAGACTATTTACACCTTTAAAGGTATATAAAATTTGAATTGATTTGCCAGAAGAGCTTCATATTTTGCCTCATTCCTAAGTCAAAGACTCAGGTAGGTCCCTTATTTTTGGAAAGGGTACACAAGCTTTTGTTTGGGTAGTTGTTCTCTCTTTTTCATGCTGCTGGTCAGAAATGTCAGGACTTCTGAGTGGA